AGCTAGCCTACAGCCAGCATCCGGGGAGCGGAGCGCACCACCACCACCACTCACACCACCATCACTCACACAATCCCCAGCCCATGCACCGCTACGACATGACAGCCCTGCAGTACAGCCCCATCTCGAACTCTCAGAGCTACATGAACGCTTCTCCTTCCGGCTACGGCGGAATCACCTACACACAGCACCAAGGCTCCGGCGTCTCCTCCTCAGCTGCCATGGGGACGTTAGGGTCGCTAGTGAAGTCGGAGCCGAGTGTAAGCCCTCCCGTCAGCAGCACACACTCACGGGGTCCTTGCCCCGGAGACTTGAGAGAGATGATAAGCATGTATTTACCGACCGGAGAGCCAGGGGACCCGTCAATGCAAAGTAGACTCCATGCCCTACCGCAGCATTACCAGAGCGCCACGGCTGGAGTGAACGGGACGGTCCCTCTAACTCACATTTAAAACTCACAGCATAACTGAAAACTGCAAACGAACACATAACCAAATATTTACCTCTTTTCTAAATAACCCCGGTCCCGAGAACTACCTGCATTTTGTACAGAATGTTTATGATATTGTAAATAGCATATTCATCTCGGCTTTTTGAATAGCCACCAGTGGAATTATATAACGAATATGATGCTGAGATATTGGGTATTGTGTTATCATCTTTTTGTCCATTACTTCACAGTCTTAGTTGAAGGTTATACCAGAATCACATGAGGGGATTTGATTCAGATTCAGTTGTCTCATAATTTGGGGGATTCTTGTAAGTTATTTGAAAATGAGATAACGTGTCATAATCATAAGAAAGTGCTTTACAAGATGTGGGAAAATCACATTCTTTAAATATTTGTGTTCCTTTACAGAAGCCTGTGTCTTAATTCTTGGACATCATCTCTTTTTATTGTAACACTAATTATTGTAAATTGTGAATAATTTTAATATTTCAAAGGATCACAGGCAACTGCTGTTGTAATTTTAAGTGCTTTTCTGCGAGTGAAAAGCTCTGATATTGCAATGAAGAAGAACTGAATAAATTTCACAAGATGTTGCTTTGATTCTTAAGAGCACGGTCTTAGATTGATTATTTTCACAGTGTTCTTACCGGACTGTTTTCACGTGTTAGGACGCAAGAATATCATCAAACGTTCCTGTCTAAAAAAAAAGCAGCCACCTCGTTAATTTTTCACACCGGTGCTGTACTCAGATCCCACGAGCTTTCAAACTGCCTAATTGTGCGTAATTGTGCGTAAAAGCTACACAGGCTTATAAGGACACCATTCTGGTAGGCTGATGTTTCCTGAGCTAAACCTTTATGTAATTAGAAATGTGTTTATAAATTGTAAAAAAAAAGGTTCTTATGGTATGCAGACCAAATACAGTCGAGTCATTTTGATTATTTAATGCAGGCCAAGATGATGACCCACATTTTCCTTTCATATAATATCGTTTATAATATCATACCATTCTCATTTTTGAACGTATTCTAAACAGAAAAAACATATCTGATAAATGCAGAGTACTCGGAGGCCTCTTGTGACAAATCACCTGTTAGTATTATTCACGGGAATAAGGTTTAACTTAAATCAGGCTATTAAACGTTTACATTTTTTTCTTTTTTAGTCTCTGATGAAAGGTTTCACAGCAAATTTTGGCAGCAAACAATTTCATTCTTTTTAATCAGTTTATCAATATTGTGACCAGCAATTATTGCATTTATATTTTGCTAACGAACTGCACAGCTGTGTTAGACCTCCACCTTTTGTTCAGATCACATCAGATGTTTCATAACGAATCTTAATAACCTACCAAAAGGCTGTTGGCTGAGCTTTTAAATATTAGGCTGTTTTAGAAATGAATATGAATATCAATCATCATCCAAGAAGTCGTTCAAATGTTCACATTTTCTGAAGTACAGCGAAATTTTATAAAATGCAGTATGAGATGTTGATGGCTTGAACAGCTGACACATCTTATAAGACTCAGGCGGAAATAGTAAAGAGTAAAAACAGTAACTTGGTCTGACGGTTTAATTTTAAAAACAAAGTCTAGATTTTCACTTGTTTTTCACCTGAACTGGTTCATTTTACATCCACTCCTCTCGGCACATCTGTCTTTGCCATTTAATTTTTTATACTTGGGATTAAAAAATATATGAAATATGAGATCATATATTGGTTATCTTACTTGGTGATCAGCAAAACACCGGGCCTCAGAGAAAATACGCACGTTCTCAGTCACCAAAATCTCAGCTGCATTTTGGAGATCTTGTTTTCTTGGCTATCAAATAAACACTGTTCAAAAATGATAAATCAGCAGCTTAAGAAATATTATATTAACAGTTGTTTTACTCGGTCTTCTACCTTTTCTGCATGGTCCCATCATCTGAGAAGCTGTAAGGCGGTGGAATAGTTGCTTTTGTACTTTACTCTTCACATTTGAGTCAGGGATGTAAAGGGAAATGGAAAAACTGCATGAGGCACAAACTGGGATTTAAACAATAATATCAAGTTTGAAACGACCACTACCAGAAACTTGGAGGGACTAAACCGTACGTCAAAAACCTGAATGCCACCTAGTTCACGAAATTAAAGTTTCACAAAACAGAGCATGAGATGTTTAGAGATTAAACGTGCACGATCATTCAACCGTACAGCCAGACTGTTGCACAGACTGGACTTGAATTTCCCAGTGGACATCACACCTGACTACTAGTGATGAGTCATTAAAATGACAAAGCTCTAGATGCTGGGTTTTAGAAGACTGGGAGTTTGGGCTCCTTGAACCCACCCACCCCTCAACCCCCCAAAACTTTATTATGGATCAGATGAAGGTTTAACTAAAAAATAAGCTGATAATTCACTGACCTTAACTGTTAATCCACTTAAAATTCACTTTCTTCACTTTCTGACAGGCCACAGCTGATTTTGACATACACATTTTTATTGCATTTAGGCCTCTTATGCAGATACAGGCTAATAGCCATATACATGCAAATGAGGGAAATGTATGCCTACTTGGGCATTTTTTTAAATTAATTAATCTCAAATACATAGTTAAAGGGCCTATGTCACACTGATGAGGACTTGCATGGTATGTCAATTAAACCTGTTAGGCCTCAGTAAAGCGTGCAGCGTCTGGCTGCACATTAATCTATTGAAAAAAATCAGAGGAACAATGTCTGGAAATTAGTTTAAATTCCAAAACCCAAAATAAATGGCATCTATGGAGACATCTCTTCACACTACGCCGCGCAGGGGACGCCTCTCCTTGTGTTTTGCATCTGTTTCTATCTTATCTGTTGATGTGAAGAGATTCGGATTAACACTAAAAGCCTGGAGAGGCGGAGCGCGTCACGGCGCATCGCCAGGCTAAAAGAGGAGCGTTCTGGCAAATTTACCCCGAATAAATTACACCTTGAGGTGGAAGAGCGCTAAGTGTAGGGTGCAACGTAAACAGGCTATGTGGCAGCGATGGTTGCTGCTGTTCGTGTGTGTGTGTGTGTGTGTGTGTGTGTGTGTGTGTGTGTGTGTGTGCATGTGCCTGTGTGCGCTGACCGGCCAATAAATCTCTCCACCATGCGATACTCTTATCTTGTAGCCACCGATATATTCCGTGCTAGGAGGCCATCAGCTCCAGCGCACACTCGGTTGCTCGTAAAGCCCCGATCCCTTGCACTCCCTGTCCTAAATGGGGATAATTAGCGTCACTTTATCACGCCTCTGCATATTTTCTCCGCGCCCCCCACCCTCCTCTCTTTCCTAAAAAAATTACCAAGCAGCCTGCTCGCGTCGCCCGCTCTGTCACAGAAGATTATGGAGACAGATTGCACAGAGCGAATGTGCCGGGCGAGATTAGCGCGGAATAGAGAAAGCAACTGGGCCAATGAATTCCTCGGAAGGGCCTTATCGTGCAATTACACGTTGACATGTTTAACAATCTTGCTGCCTCTTAATCCTGCAGTGCTGCTCTATCTACCCACAGCTACCACGCTATACGCCGGCACATAGACCTAATGCACCGAAACGCAGCACAAATGTAGCCTACCGAAAGTTATGAGAAATTGCTTTATTTTCAAACTTTGTCCAGCATTCACCAAATGCTTTTTATTTTCTGTTTTTCATTTTTCAGATTTCTCCGTTGTTGGAATAGCATCTGCACTGGAAGGTTTTGACAGGAGGTGAGATATTAAATACACTTTAAAAAATGGCTTGTTGTTAACCTAAATCACTGTATCACTTTAACATCTAACCAAAAAAACGATACAAAGCCGAGTGTTTGCGCTATGTCCACCCAGAGTGGCGATATAACGCACAAAGTGTCCGTTTTGTTTGGAGTTGCACTTTTCCATCTCTTTGGCCAACACACACACATACACCCTCCGCCAGCACCACCACCACATCCCGATTCATCGTCCCCCTCCCAGTCCCTTCTGCCTGGTGGTATGGCGGAGCCTGTGTGGGGGTGATTGTGGAGCACCACTGTAGGAATTTGGCAGCGACTATGGTTTGGAGAGCCGCCCCACGCTGAGCCCCATTCAGCGGCCAGCGCGCTGTGAGGTTGGGAAGTTTCAGTCGGCCGTACAACTCAATGGCCCCCACAAAGGCGATTACAAGCCCCAGCGCATTCCTGTAGGGACCTGGGAGCGGCGCAGGTGCGAGGGGGACCGGGGTAACCCGTCAGAGGAGCGATAAAAACGGGACAGTGCTACACGGGACCACACAAAAGCAGCCACTCCACAGGAAGCGGGGATTTTTTTTTCCTTTTGGAGGAAAGAGAAAGGAAAGAATAAGTTTGAAGAAGATGGAAGTTTGGGGGGTGGTGATGCCGCATACTGAGTGGCCTCAGTGTCCATCACTGAAATAAAGGAGGAAGAGTCTCCCAGTCAGGACTGTAGCCGGAACTTTAGGTCATGAGTCCAAAGATTCCCAACACACCCTCACATGCCTCCAGATTTTCCACCGACCGCTAAAAATCTCTATTAAAAACATTAAAAACACAGTAAAAACACATAGTATTTATTTAACTAAATATGTACAATTGTAAAATTCTGCTTGAAAATACTTCAGACCCAGTCACATTTATAGTTTTGATTTTAAGACAGTTTAAAAATAATGGAAAGTAAAAAACTTTTATATGTAGCCGTCTTACCATAGTGTGTAAACTCATCAGATTATTATATTCATTATTATCTCTATTCTCTTCCAATATGGAACAGAAAAGTGCCCTAGCTGAAAAATCTGCTAAAAATGATATCATATTTTACTTTTCAGGTAAAATAAGACAGAGTTATACAGTAGATATAAATGTAGTCTCACTTGAACGTCTATGAAACTCTTCCAGTTTCTGCTTTGAAATAAACTACCAGGTTGGATCAATTTAAATAGCTGCTTGAATCATACACTTCAATCAACATATATTAATTGTATCTGCGGTTCCTTGCTAATACCAGTGTTCAGTATATCTATATGCATTTTGATTGTGGACATGTATTCACTGTGCTTTCTCTACTGTACTTGTTTGTTTTCACCAACGCAGTCTAAACAGCACAACAGAACTATCACATTACAAAATAACTCAATATTATAACAAAATTATTCACATAATCTGTGAATAATGCCGCTGTGTGTTTTAAAAATGGTTAAAGCTGCAGTAATAAACATATTTCTAGTAAGAATGGAAACAGATGTACAGTAAAAGGGGTCACATGTAAATCCACAGAAAATCTTTCTACTCTGCAGTTCCCCACAGTTGTATCGAACTTACAGTATAAGCTCATTGTTTTGGTTTTGCTGCTCACAAACACTTATTGACTTCATTTCCTGCTGCAGCAGATTGACAGAGTTAGCGAGTAGAGTATTTAGCAGCTAAAGAGCCAAAAGTTTACCTCAGGCAATAGGCGACAGTTTGCTAAAATGTTTTCCAACTTTATATGTCAGTGTTGCGTTTCCTGTGTGTTTCACTGCCCTCAAGTGGCCAAAAAATCTATCAAAATAGCGTTCAGTTCAAGCAAATAAAATGTCTTGGTTACAACTGGGTAAAGATCATGGGTAAAAGAAACTGCTGTTGACAGTCGGTAAGTGTAGCGGTTGTGAACAGCAGGCTTCTGTGTCTTGAGTCAGATGTTTTATATGGATTTTAGTGTCAAGGCTGTGTGTTTTTTATGTCAAACCATCCACCCAGCCTCCCACCTGTAACTTCTCTGTGGTATAGGAAGGTGATACTTCCTAGATTGGAAAAAATATTGTCAGTGAAATCCAGCAACTGAAAGCATTAAAACTACTCTACCTAATGTCTTTTCAAGTGCTAGAAGGTCTAGTGAGATTCAAAACAAACTCAGACCATAAGCTGCACCTGACCGCGCTCTGCAGTCTGACGGTAGCGTTAGCTGACTAACAAGTAAATGTGTCAGTCCAGTAGAACGCTCAGGTTACTGCTAATGTGACACAAACCACTGATGTTACACAAAGCTCAAGATACTCCCATATTAAGATCATATTAATTCAATGCAAAGGAAAAATCATGACCATGCTACTGTAGGTCGCGAATGTTACCAAAACAAACATGTTAGCTTTAGATGCTAATACTTCCAGAAGGAAGAACGCCACGACTGAGTCAAATCTGAGTCCTTGGGCTGTTTTTAACTGTCTCCATCTTAAAAAGACAAACTGATGTTAAACTGATTTTTGCTCATTCTTTGTCCCACTCTCTCTGTGCAAAAGTATGTCTGGCAGTCTCTTCAGTCTGGCAGCCAGACTTTTAGCAGACAGTAGCTCGTCTGTTGCTGACTGTTTGAAATGACCACTCATAGTTTGACAAACCTTTATAACCTTCACTAGTTTGCAGGCGGGGTCTAATTTATGGACCATATTTTGAAGCCACAGGATAGAGAAGCTGAAATAACAACAGAAGCACTGAAGACAGCAGAGTATCATGTAGGGGCTTAGTATAGCGGAGAGACACCACATCCTGTCCCACTATCACTTTATGTGTCAGATGTGTAAAATCTTAGTTAATGCACCTTTTGGAAAAACAAATTAATACACAAAGCCTTAATAGCAGCGCTAGCACAAGACACACCCCTTAAAGTCTTTTCATCGGTGTTGTGTTTTCTTTGTTTAGCACAGAGATTTCTTTTCTCAACAAGGACAAACTAAATACTTATAAAATAGAAGAAAATCTGAATCAACACTAAATCCAGTAGGTGCTTGTTAATTAGCATACAGTTGGTATAGGGTAAATGCCAGTAAAGCATTCTGTGCAGATCTGTGGAACACTTCTTCAGCTGGTTTAAGCTTTGCTGCTGTCGGAGGGCAGCAGGACGTATCATTTATTATATCCTGCAGCCTCTAGTTTGAGATGCGTCATTGTGTTCCATGATCCACTGTATTAGGTTGATTAAATCTTGTGGAAATTACACTAAGCTGTTACAGAACAACACCACCTACCTCTTCACTCATTAAAGTGTTGGGTTTTAACTCAGTATTCTTCCAGTTTATTCAGGAGATGCCTGTATAGCCTGTTTTCTAATGTTTCTTGTGAGAGCGATGCTTCGCGTTTTAGTTTTAAAATGCATCTGTAATTATGTTATAATGTGATGAAGAATTATGGCTGAAAAAGTACAAGACTGGCATCATATATCCAGCTAAAAACAACAGCTTTACTGTAGTCCTACTAATTTTATCAAGACCTACAACAGTCAGGGGCTGCATGTAGCAGTAATTCCATAGATCACTGTGTTGCCAAATAGAACACATACCATAAGTGGCATAACATGATCAAACTTTCATTACGTGGAAGCCATCTGTCCTTGGCTGCAGATTCCCTATGCCATGAACAATAATGTTTTCTGGAGAAGAATGTACAGTACCTACATATTAGAGTTATGAGAACGTGACTGCCTAGTAATTTATTTCAATATTCCTCAGTTGATCTTCCTCTTTACCAAGTATTGAAGTGCTGCAGCTCAGCAGGTATGCTTGGAAAGCTGGGTTTTAGTTCAACTGGGCTTTTTTCTTTTGCAGCTCTGTCTGTCAGATCCAAGTATGTATTCACAAAAGCAACTGCTGAGATCTCAGAACATGGCAGCATCACCAAAATATACAGTAGGTCCAACAGTACGAGAAACACCGTCAGCCAAATGGTTAGACAAGATTTAAACAAACTACAAGTCTATCAAACTCATGTGGAAGAGCGAACAAAGGAAAAATTACAAATATCTCCTTTATAAATCATCAGAATTCACAGACTGACTTCCTGGTCAACTTTGACTTGCTGTATGGTGTATTGCATGTTATAATAACATTTAGTTTAATTTGCAATGAGGGACTATTTGCAACAGTGTGGCATTCACTTGTGTTTAATGACAAGGAAGGTTTACATGATAAGTTCTAAGATCTTCCTGTTTGGCTACTAAACACTAAATACTGTGGCCCAGTATTCAATGTTGTATTTTCTTCCTTCTTCTTTCAACTTAAGCAGTTCCACAAGACAACAGAACTCGGGGTTGTTTGACAGCATGAGTTGGACTAACCAGGATCAGAGGGGTAATTTAGAATAAAATGTTAATGAAAATGTGGCTTCCGGTTCCTCACTTAAAGCTACAATATGTAATTTTTTTCACATATTTTTGTTGTAGAAATCTGCTCCAGAACTTGTCTTAATGTAGAGAGTTGTTGTCTGTCCAAGGCTCCTGTGACCCAGACTCATTGGACAGCCCTGGCAGCAGTGCAGAAATATTAGCTTATAAAAGGTTTTGAGCGGGACTGACCTCTTTAACCAATCAACGATTTTCAGTTATTTCTGCGTGACCAGTAAACTTTGTTGCAGTTTCATTTATTGTAATTTCATAATGACAAATATCTGAAGAGCTGGGCAGAGCGTGGCGGAGTAGAGTGGAGGGATCTGTTGTTTCATGTAGCGCTACTTTAAGTTACATATTGTAGTTTTAATATATGCAACAAACCCTGCGTCAGAATCGAATCAATAGGCTTTTTTTCTGACTACACCAGTATGATATTCAACATTTCCAGCACCTTTTTTTCAGGTGTGAGTGTTGAGTTGGTTAATTTGAAGTTAGCGAATATGGGAATCTTTCCCAAGACAGTGAATCAGCATTGTGACCGTGAGCGTGTTAGCATGTTAGCATTTTGCTCAAAGCCACTGTGCCAAAGTACAACTAGCTACCTGTTTAACCAACAGTATCTCACTCTCACTAACTCGACATTTCACTCAATGAAGTGTGGTGTAAAACACACCTGCAGCGTTCCTCTATCACTGGGCCACACACGTACAAACCCACCGGATGCTGTAAAGGATTTTTGCTCCTCTGTGGCAGGTGATAATTCTCAGAGCAGCGGAGATGGGGTTAATGAGGGGTCAAGGAGTTCGGATAAGAAACAACGGTTTTATGGTGCCTGCTGCAACCTGCAGCACGCTGATAGCTGTTTGACCTGGCTGACCTTTGAACTCTGCAGGGTCAAGTGATCAGAAAAACTGGGTCGTTTAGATAGGTTAGATTGGAACAAGTAAAGGATGTGTATGTCACAGCAATATGTCCAAGAGGCACAGATAAATTGTTCTTAATGATTATAACCCTACTCAATTTGTTTCCAGAGCCATTAGATCGTTGTCAGCTATCAGACTCTTTAAGGTACTGGCTACATTTGATTAATTTGTAATTAAATTGATAACTTACTGGTTATTAAGTATTCAGCTGATTGGATAGTGAACTTATGTATGGATAATGTACTTGTGCATTTCATTTTATGCAGTATATGTACACTGTGTGCACAATATATATTTGTTATATGAACTAAAACTCCCGGGCTCTGTATGTCCTGTCTGCTGTATCTTTATTTATTGATTTTTTGACATTTGATATCCCTGCAAATCAATATCCTCTCTTTGTCCATCTCCCTCTTGCTCTGTCTGTCTCTTCCAGCAAAGTGTCCATCATGGCTATCACCAGTGGATGTGGATCACTGTGGGGGGACTGTGATTAACAGATAGCACCTCATCTCCCCCGCTGGCAGGCCATCATTATGACAAGCACTAGGAAATGGGTGCTGTGGGCGAAAAGACCTTTTGGAAAATGTCAGCGGCAGTCAGAGCCCCAAATTTCCTCCATTTGCTCTTTCCCCTGTGATGCTCAGCCCCTTAATTACGTAGCCCCTTTCTCTTATCGCCAAACGCTTTGTATCCAAGTACAGTGTCTTCTTGTGGCTTACCTGCTGATTGAACCAAACAAAACACCAGCCGTATATTTTACTCATCTCAGCAAAAACAAATACAAAACAAAAAACAGCAGTATCTGCAGCAGTGCTCATTCCCAATCCCCTTTCACTGGAGCCATGCGTCACTGTCTTAATACTCTTAGTCTTTCATGTTGGCATGTTTTCCAAGAACCCGTTGCATTTTTAGATTTGTAAAATCCGCCAGAATGTCTGCAATGAATATTTCCACAGTCTTGAGTGTTTTAATGTGCTGTTTGACCAGCCCAACAGAAACGTACAGATCTGGCACCAGGATCAGATTATTATTGTGCAGTCTGGTGTGGAAACTGTGGAACAGGTCATTTTCCATTTGAACACAAACCCCTTGACATTTATCAAGAGAAGCAGGACGTATTGATACATGGATATGTTTTGAAGCTCTAATTAATATCTTTCCTGTGCATGGGTGTACATGTTATGTATATTTCTATTTTTTCTTTGCCCCAAAAACAAACAAACAAAACAAAAACTGCTACTATTACAGATTTGATGGATGTAAATGTCGTCTTTCCAGACAGGTCTTTGTTGCATTTTATAGTCTGTTTTTGTTGTTGTCTTAATTAGCTTTTGCTAAAAAAAAAAGATAGAGAATACATGTTGAATAAAGTCTTGCATCTTATTGCTATGTAAGGATAAAATATTTCTCTTTCTGTCTTTTTTTCACATTCAGTTTGAGAGGCAAATTAATACTTCAAAGTGAGAAGTCACAGAAAAGTTTTCACATTTAAGCTATGTATTAATTTCAAGGCCTAAACGTGCCCTCAATTATTCTACCACTGCACCTAAGTAATTGATTTTGGGTAAAGAAAGAGAGAGGTGGGGGGTGGGGATGAGGGTGGGAGATCTGTGTTGATGTGTGAAAATTGCAAAGCCAACAAATGAAAAATAACTGACAGTATAACTGCTGTGCTTTATTGATTTTTTTTTCCATCAAGGCATTTGACTAAGTTGAGCCCATCATAACATAAACTGTTAAACTTTTTGTGATAATTTCTATTTTGTCCACTCGCTTGGCCTCTCGGTCTAGCATTGACTCGTATAGGCGTCTGCAGTCAACCACACAAAGACTTGTGAGACTCAAGTCTGGGAGTGTGTGTGCTGAGGTACAGATGCAGTAAACAGAACATGCACAGAGACTAGATAATGAGCATCTCAGGTGACTGCATGTAGTGATTACCAGGTAGCTGGTGTTATAGGAACTATATCACATACACATAACACTTCCACTGAATGTACACACACACACACACACACACACACACTCCTGAGAGATTTTTGGTTATCACACCCTTCCAGATTGTTCTGAACTACTTATGGAAAACACACACACATCTCAAGATGTGGCCACTCTTGCCAATATGAGCCCAGTGTTAAGAACAGTTGTTGTGTTTTTTTGTTGTTGTTGTTGTTGTTTTTTTTAGCATCTCTAAATTCCTAGCGTTGCTAAGGTGCTTTGGGAGGGGATTAACAGAGGCTGGCGCCGATGAGCAAGCCTAGCAGATTTCCGACCAGCAGGAAAAAGACAAAGAAAGAGGGGAAAGAAGGAGGAAAAGCAGCAGAGGGTTAGACAATAGGGAAATGGCAGTAACAGCCTGTGTAAACATGATGACTTAAGAGAGGTAAAGAGGTAGAAACGAATGAGATCTGAGCAGTGTAACACCAGACTAAATAAGTGTCTTAAAGAGCAGGCCTCAACTTTCACACGGTCGGGGTAGAGGACACTTTCCCTTTTGCTTTTTCTCTCTGCCCTCTTTGCTTCTTTCCCCTTATGTCTACCAAAATTGCCTTTATACCTGCATCCATCTCCTCACTTTCTTCATTTGCTTCTCAATTTCTTTTTGTCTCTTTATTCCCCCAAGGGCAACAGTTTCAGATCAAGACACTCTCGTCTCGCTCTCCCTCTCTCTCTTTCTGCAACAACTTCAAACAGTGCCGACGATCAGGTCATACTGATGTGCCCGGAGCATCGGTGACTGTGCCGTCTCAGGTGAACATCTCCCAGTGTGTCCTAGATGACACGCTCTTTCTTTCAACCATCTCACTGCTTTTAATTAGTGCAGCGAGTAGTGGAAGTAGCAAAGACAGCTGAGCCACGTTTACCAATTATTGACCTGCTCATAGGAACCTCTGTGGCAGCAATGCAGTGCTTTTACAGCTGAAAAAAGAAAACAGTTACATATTAACTGACCTTGATTTTCACTAAATCTCTGCTAGCCAAAGAAGCACAGCAAAGGCAGTGAGGTCCACATACATTTCTTTGAATCCTCCTCAGGCCCTCTCGCCTTCTCAGGTAGAGTGTAACTAGATGCGGTCTGTTTCTGAAATACACAGCACTTGACTAAGGGCCAGCACTGCTTCTCGCTTGCCATCCATCCTCTCCCTCCCCTCTCCTTCCCCTACCTAGGTCAGGTTACCCCTCAGCCTCTCTCCTTCTTTTTACCTTTCCTTGAGTGGTGGCAGGTAGTGTGCTTTGCAGCCACATCAGTGTCCATAGATGATGAAAACCATGTGCCTCTATGTTTGTGTGCTACCCAGACAAGTGTTTGTGACTGTTTGAGCTCGGCAATCGGGCTTCTGTAACCGTGCCCGTCTCAGCCGCGCTGGCTAATGTGACTGTGTTGGCTGAGGCGCGGAGCCGGCCGTCTTTCAACCACTGATCCCTCAGAACTACTCATCTGATCAGGCTGGATCTGCGCTCCACGGCTGCCAGGGTCACCCAACCCAACCCCGGGGTCAACCGTCTAATTACAAACCCCTGTGTCCTCCGTCTCTGTCACCACCAGGGACATGGGGAAGGTGGGGTATAGAGGGAAGAAGCCTGAGAGGGGAAAAAAGAGAATATTGACTTAGACATCAAAAGGTCAACAGTGAGTATAACCAATCTCTGCACTTTTTTCTCTTCAGTTCTGTGAGCAGAGACATGTGGGTGTGAAGCTCTGATTTGCAGTATCTTGATCATATTCTTTAAAGCCTTCAGGCAGAGATAGAAGCTTAGACCCATGGGACAGGAGCTACGTCAGTGTATGTGGGTTTATGTATCAGCCTGCCACTAACTTTAGATACAAGGACAGTGCCGGTTTCTCTGTGTCTGCTTTCTTGTCTTTGTTTTCAACATTTACTGAAGCAGCACACCCTATATATTTCCTCTATCATGGCTCCATGGCGAGACAAACTCTGCTTTTAAGACCAAGAGGCCAAGTGTTTACATGTGATTTCCTTTGCCCTGACCTTTGACTGTGACCACTGACTGAAATGGAATTTAGGAGATGCTGCACACTGGTACCAGTCAAAGAGAGAACACACATACACCCACCAAACCACTATTACATTATATTAGGCTGCAGGTTCATTAATCACAAATGCGAAGGCTTTTCAGCCAGTGTAGGAAATTAATCAAAAAAGGGGACATTAATCACATGCATGAACAGCAGCAGTTACACCTGTGACAATGCCATCTGATTTAAACGTGTTACTCCAGACTGTGTTAATGATGCCACCCAGGGCCAGGCAAGGCAACCTCTCTGCCTTCGCTGAAACAATAATGCACTAACTATGAAGCAATTTTCTTGCATGTAGTCAAGGGGTGTGTTGATGCTCATTGCACAGGGGTCAGTGGGTGTTTCAGCAATTACCAGGTGCAGTTTTATTCTGACAGCTTGACCACTGGGTTTTTCACTCTGTCCATTGAAATTATATTAGTCATACTTTGTTGTTTTGTTTTGTTTTTCAGCCGTTTTGCAGCTGAGAAATAGATTATCAGTGTGAAACAAAAACAAGTTGCTGTTGGAAAGGTTTAATTAGCAAATGTTCTGAGCTGAACCAAAATAGATGTAAATATGGTGTCCAGAAATTGGAGCATTGTTTGTATGAGAGATACATTCAGAAATAGGAAAAACATCTTGGAAATCCTGCATGTGTGGCTACACTGCCCTCTTTTGAATGCACTGCAATGTACTGTATCCTAATGATCTGCTGCAGGACTGGTAATCGTACAAAATAGAAACAGAGATGTAAAATAGACGCAAACCTTGTACAATTCAAGGTCATTTGAAATAAGACAGAACAAATGAACCTTTTAGAGCAAACTGTAATATCATAGCAAGTGCTGCACAATATGCTGTAATGCCATTCAAACTGAGGTTGTATGGCAGCAATACAGTTACACTCTTGTGGGTATTTTGTCCTTGAACTGCAGAAGCTTATGTCTTGTTCCACTATTCTCTTAAAAAAATTTAAAAAAGACAAATCCTTTCAGACGTGGCTCAAATCCATTGAGGGGAAAGATGTTCAGTGGTAAGAGTGATTACCTGTTTCTGTCCTTAAACACAAAGGAACAAAGCTGTAACAAATGTAACATTGTGGGTAACTAACTGTGGGTTAAATGAAGTCATGCCCAGTTTGGTTGCTAAAACTCCTGGCAATGACACTGTGCATTTAAGACATTGACATGAATTTAATACAATGGGTTATTTCTAAATGTGTTTGCAGCGCTCCCACAGTCACTGACATTCTGTTAAGACAGGTGCAGATTTTGTAAGTTTTCTTTAATTATAAGAAGGTTACCAGAGGTAAACCACAAGAACTCAGGAAACCCTCAGGAATCAGTAACAAATATTGATACAAATCTTTTTTATTTAGTTCAAAACATCAACCCATTAAGGTACAGACATTTCAAACTATAGTTTTCTTAGCATTTGTCCTCCTTTATTGATATATTATAGGGTTGTAATATTTTATTTACATTATACTTTATTCAGCTCACAACATGATACAAAGCCAAATTTTTAAGTAAAAAATGTAAAATCTATTCCAAGAAAGAATGAAATAGTCAAGAAAGCACATTTTTTCAAGTATCTGTTTGAATACATTTTTCTGACATCACAGAATAAAATTAGAAAAAGAATAAAGTTCATTTGATGATTAGTCTGCCATTTTTTTACAGATAATAAGGTTGGGAAAGAACAAATCAAGGAGGCAAGGCAGTTTTATTTATATAGCACATTTCATACACAGAGGCAAGTCACAGTGCTTTAGAAAGACACAAAAACAGTGACATCATTAAAAACACTAAGCAATAAAACATTCAAACCAGAATAAAATCAGTAAAGACAAAATTAAGATAAAACATTGTTAAAATGAGATAAAATACCTAAAATAAAAACATATAGACAAAATAGAAGGTCAGAAACATGATTATCTAACAGTTAGAAGTTAAAAGTTGCCCCGAATTCAACAGATGAAACAAAAGTGCAGCATAGAAACTGGTCAGTCAAAGGCACTGCAAAGCTGCAGAGCTTTCAGTTTAGACTTGAAAAAGCTGTGGCACATTGAAGTTCATCAGGAAGTTGATTCCATCTGTGTGCAGTAGCTAAAAGCAGCTTCACCCTGTTTGGTTCTGACCCGAAGTTCTACCAACTGACTGCTTCTTAGGGATCTCAGAACCCTGCTGGGTTTGTATTCTTTAAGGAGATCTAAAACATATTGTGGCCTCATACCAGTGAGTAATTTATAAACTAGCAGAAGCACTTTAAATTCTATTCTGGCCTTTAGCTTTATTCACTTAAGTTTTTAATTATATTATAAGTCAAGCGGTTCTTGTTTACAGCTATAATAATGAAACAATTACATACACACAGTAGCTGTAGTATCATTTAATAGTCCCTTAATAAATCCTTGCCCTCTGCTGAGCCTTTTAGCAGCACCTCTGAGCTTGGAAACAAAATGTTCAGATGGTATCTATTAGTATATTTT